TACTACAATGTTACTTCAAATTCGCTTCAACTATTTTAATTATATTTTTATAATAATTTTTTAATATATTTTTTAATATTATATTTTATATACTATATTATAAAAATAATTAAAAACATTAATAAATCTCCAATAAATATCTAATAAGCCTTTTAAAATTCTTAATAAAATTCTCAATAAATCGCTCTAAAATTCTAAGTAAATATGTAATGAAACTTCTAAAATATTCAGTAAATCTTCATACAATCTTAAATAATAATAAATATCTTAAAGAAAACTTATTTGAAAAGTTGAAACCCAATTAATTCCACTTACATGAAATTACCTTCAATTTATAGTTTTATATCTAATAACACATAAATTAACCACAATTTATTTTTAACGAAAAAAAAAAATCTAATGATCAATAGGTAATGATATGTAATAGTAATAAAAGGAAATAGAAACACAATTTATGGTTTTAAATGGAATTAAAAAGTTTTGTACAAAAAAAGATATGTAATGAGGTAATGATTGTTGGAGGTGCAAAGAGTGACTAAAAAATAAATAAATAATATAATGGGAGATAAAAAAGAAAAGAATAATAACAAATAAATTATAAATATTTGACCGCACTTCATGGCACACTAATGCATGATGTCTCTGCTCCTACATTGACTTCCCTTTTTTATAATATTTATTTTCATTTAGAGTAAAATGACTACAACCTAGCCTTTCCATCAATATGTATACATTATAATGACCAAGAAATGCAATTGCTCTTCACATGATTTTATGCATTGATTTTGTTCAAAATTCTTTCTTTTTTTTTTTCGATGAATAAAAATCCAATTAATTTGATATATTAAACCCATGCCACATGCTTTAAGCCCAATGATGACTTCCCTTTCCGTTTTTGTTTTCATTCCCTTTCATCAAGTATTAGAGCAATTAATATTTCACTTTTTTCTCTTTACTTTTTACACATTAATTATGATTTTACACAAAACTTTTTTCTATACACTTTTCACATGTTAACATATAATCCAATATTTCAATAAACATTAACTTATTTCATATCACAAAACTTTCTTTTCTACACTTTCCACACATTAATATATAATCCAATATTCCAAAAAACCTTGACCTATTCCACATGTTGATATACTAAACCTACACCACATGCTTCTAGCCCAACGATGACTTCCCCTTTCCCCTTTTGCTTTCATTCCTTTTCATCAAGTATTAGACCAATTAATTTTTCACTTTCTTCTCTACATTTTTTATACGTTAATTATAATTTCACACAAAACTTTCTTCTTTACACTTTCCACCCATTAATATATAGTCCGATATTCCAAAAAACCTTGACTTATTCCACACGTTGATATACTAAACCCACACCACATGCTTCTAGCCCAACGATGGCTCCCCCTTTCTCCTTTTGCTTTCATTCCTTTTCATCAAGGATTAGACCAATTAATTTTTCCACTTTCTTCTCTACACTTTTTATACGTTAATTATGGTTTAACACAAAACTTTTTTCTCTACACTTTCCACGCATTAATGTATAATCCAATATTCCAAAAAACCTTGACTTATTCCACATGTTGATATACTGAACCCACACCACATGCTTTTAGCCCAACGATGACTTCCCCTTTCTCCTTTTGCTTTCATTCCTTTTCACTAGACCAATTAATTTTCCACTTTCTTCTTTATACTTTTTATACGTTAATTATGGTTTCACACAAAACTTTCTTCTTTACACTTTCCACACGTTAATATATAGTCCGATATTCCAAAAAACCTTGACTTATTCCACACGTTGATATACTAAACCCACACCACATGCTTCTAGCCCAATGATGGCTTCCCCTTTCTCCTTTTGCTTTCAATCCTTTTCATCAAGGATTAGACCAATTAATTTTTCCACTTTCTTCTCTACACTTTTTATACGTTAATTATGATTTAACACAAAACTTTCTTCTCTACACTTTCCACGCATTAATATATAATCCAATATTCCAAAAAACCTTGACTTATTCCACATGTTGATATACTAAACCCACACCACATGCTTCTAGCCCAACGATGACTTCCCCTTTCCCCTTTTGCTTTCATTCCTTTTCACTAGACCAATTAATTTTCCACTTTCTTCTTTACACTTTTTATACGTTAATTATGGTTTCACACAAAACTTTCTTCTTTACACTTTCCACACGTTAATATATAGTTCAATATTCCAGAAAACCTTAACTTATCCCATATCTTCTAGTTGAAGAATTCTTCATTACGATAATGGAATACTACATCAATAGCATTCTAACCAATAAAATGTTTATAAATCATAAGATTCTTTTTCCATCACATTCATTAGAGGTTTCTCATGCTGGTTCTTGTTAATTATGGTTTCCACAAAAGACTAGATTATAAGCAACTATTAGTTGTCACATATCAACTTTTAATTGTGAATTTTCTTGAAATAGCTAAATCAAATAGGATAGAAACTCTTGACTTTATTTTTTTAATGAATTTTTTTCATTCAGCCTTTTTCATTGCCCAAATCATAACTTGTGAAGCTCATCTTCTCTACTATTCTACCATGCTCACTAATAACTTTTCAACAAGGGTAAAAGAAAATAAAAGAAGTTAGTGTAAATTGGTCATTTTCCTAAAAGTTTTTTTAAGGTATTTATCTAAAAACAGTCGAACCCAAATGAGATGTTAGGATAATGAAAATAATTGTGAAAAAGGTTGATACTCTACAATTTCTCAAAGCGGAAGAGACCACTATTTGTTGTTAGATTGGCCTTAAGACAATTCCTACTAAGATCAAGGCCAAACACGTGACCTTTCACCTTGTTGCATGTGATGCCCTCCCACAAGCAGCGGTCTTTACTCTCATTCCAAGTTTGTATTATAGGACAAGCACCACCAAGACAGTCTTCCATCAAATTAGTAGTGCTTTTGAAATCAAGCAGTGCAGAATGCTCTTTCGGACAGGACAAAAGTGGTGATGAATCGGGACAAGATTGAGAAGGTGAGGAGCTTTGGACTCAAAACCATAACAACATGAAGGAAAGGAAGAGGATTTGGGAAAACCTTATTAAACTTGCCATTTTCTTAAAGATGAACACAAGTTGGGAAATAAAGGAGTGATGGATTATTCAAAATAGTAGGGCAAGATACAAGAATTTATGGTCTTCCCAAGAGTGAAAGTCCTTTGGCTTTTCTCCGAATTAGGTGTACATTTCTTTAGCACGGTCAAATTTTTTCTTTATCTTTTTATATAAAATAATGTTTACACAGTTAAACTTACTTCTATAATTTAATAAAACTGTTTTTAATATTACACATATTAATATTTAAACTTTTTTTTATTATTGTTAGTACACATAATTAACTTGAAGTGAGGAGTATAGGTCATTATAATATGTGTTGAAGTGAGGAGTATAGATCATTATAATGTGTTAGAGCGCCAGGCTTCAAAGCTATTTGATAGGTGCATTTATTTTTTTTGACAACTTTTGCATGACATGACTCTTCAACTTGTTAAACTTGTTGTTATAAAGTTGGCTCTCTTCAACTTGTTATTATTCTTGGTTTTAGAATGCATGGTATGACCCTTGCATGTATTAAATGAAAATAAAGATAATATCATTATAGTATTTCATGACATTATAAACTTATCATATGATGTATTGTTATGTAATTAGTTTTTTTATTTATTTAAAAATTTACTAATAATATTGTATGTATTCACTTATTTAATATTATATTATAATTGGAAGTTCTTAATTATATATGATATTATAAATATAGTATTATCAAAATAAAAATACAAAACAAAAATTAGGTATAAAAACATAAGTCAATGTAAAAGTTGAAATGCTCCATTTTCTCATACTAGTATAAAAAAAGTTCCATCTAATTTGTAAAAGGAGAAGAGATAAATTTTTAACATTTTTTCTATATTTGTTTGATTTTTATGACATAATATATTCTCATATATTACCTAAGAATATATCAACACTAAGTCAATGTGACCCATAATTCACGAAACAAGGTCTAAAGTAATACTAATAACAGTGCCGCACTTCAGCTCGGCCAACCAATAAACCATGGA